AGGCGAGAGTTTATTTTTAGAAAAACAATTAAATATTTGAAACAATTTTGTATACATAACCTCACTTTTTATGAGTACCACACTGTGCTACTTTTAAGTCCATGTTCAATTTCAAATTTCAAAGGCTTTTATTTATTTATTTATTTATTTATTTATAATGCACACAATATTCATTGAAGTTTGCTTTGAGTTCAAGTTCCATTGAGCAAACTGAACAGTAAAGTTTTCTAGTGCTTGTTTCATATTTCCTAGGAAGTTTCTTTTCCATAAAACCTTGTGCATTTGCAATGTTGTTTACCATTCAATTCTTCCTTGTGTATTTTAGAAAAACACATAGAGTTGTAAAAAGAAAAATTGCCAGAGTTCCTGTGCAAACATTTTCTAGTAGTTGGAAGACTGAATTCTCTTTTATATGTATTCTAGAATAGGCTCCTATATAAGTTTATCTCACTGAGTATTCAACTTTAGCTCTTTTAAATAGATATCTTATCAGAGTTTCTAATTTTAAGAACATCTGTTGCTTCCTACCCATGGTTTTTCTACCTACTGACTCTCTGATATTCCAAGGTATTCAGGGTTCTGCCCTCACATGCTTTTGCTTTTATTTTAATATCCTTCTTCTAAAGATTTTGTACTTATTTTTAATAACTCTAAATTGATAGTTTCCTTTGAGGTTAAATGAACTCACTTGTCACAACTTATAATTTTCAGTGTTACCTGCACTGCAACCAAGTATTACTTCAAAGGAAAAAAATTATGAACACTTTCCAGTATTGCCTCTATTTAATTATAGCCATGCATGCACTCCATAATTGTGCAGGGTCAGAATTCATAGTACAGTTGAGATTGTCATTTAGTATTTCTTATTAAAATGTCTTGGAGATCATTACATAGACTTCCAAACTAAAACAATGGCAGTAATTTAGTAGTAGCATATTAAAAACCAGATAATAAAGATATGTTATAAATTACTTAGAGTAACTAAAAGCCTTGAGATCCAGCACCAAAATACGACTGGTGTGGTGAACAACATACGGTTTTGTGTGTGCAGACCTGTGTTCTAAATCCAGTTTTAACTTAGGCAAGAGGAATTATTTGAAGAATTCAGGTTACTTTTGCCTCAAATCTGTTTTCCCATCTGTTAAAAGGGAAATAGAATGTAATGGAATTTGAAAGATGAGCAATAAGACTTTTAAATTTCCCAACATTACATTATTATAGATACATCCTCTACATCATGAATGTTCATAAAGAAATTCATTTTCTAACTTGGGGGGCTCTTGAGGGTTTCCCTTTATTAGAAAAAATGGGAGAAAAATTCTTAGAGATTCTACTAGTTAGCTTCAGCTTGCTACCTGAAAGGCTGCATCTGCTGGGTGTTAAATGGCTGCCAACATAGGCTCCCATAGTCCTTTCTATTCCCAGCACTCTTTGTTAAAAATAAATAAGTGAGAGTATATTGTCCTGAAGAACTATCTTTCTGACATTCCTAAATGACGACATTTCAAGGTGCCAATTGGATTGCAGCACTGCTTGCTCTGTTTTCTCCTGTGTTGTCTTTGATCTTCATATACTCGTATACAGATAGAACATGAAGGAAGATATAGAGGCTATATTTCAAGTAGCAATTTGTGTAATTTGTGTGTGTGTGTGTGTGTGTGTGTGTGTGTGTGCTAAGAAGTTAATACTAGACTCTATACTTACCAGTTAACAGCTTTTAATAGGGCAAGATCAAATCCATATGGGTTATTACTTTTGCCATAGTTTTGTATTGCCAAGGTTTTCTTCTGTCTCTGTCTCTGTCTCTGTCTCTCTGTCTTTCTCTCACTCTCTGGTTTTTCAAGTGAGACAGGGTTTCTCTGTGTAGTTTTGGAGCTTTTCCTGGCACCCACTCTCTAGAACATACTGACCTTGAACTCACAGAGATCTGCCTGCCCCTGCCTCCTGAGTGCTGAAATTAAAAGCATGCGCCACCATGCCTGGCTGGAGGTTTTTTTTTTTTTTTTAGTTTCTCAAGTGTGTAATAATTGCTACTGGGAATATGTAAAGATGCATTGTCTGTCTTTGTGTAATGAAATTGTTCCAGTTTTCTACTTGTGTGTACTGGAAAACACAATTTAATGGAGCAGCTTCTGAAGAAGTGGTGGATCTTATATTTATAATGAGATTGTGGTGTCCTTGTTGTCTCTGTCGAAATATAGTGCATCTATAAATTAATGTTATATAATATACCTATCTTGTAAATACTGTTAATTTCTTGAAATCTAAATAATATGCCTTCAAAAGTTTCAAAGCTGCAAACAAATATTTAGCATGTAGACAAAAGCAAAGAATGAAAACATTTCTGGAAATTATGACACCCCAAGAGGATAGTTCCTTCCCACTTTCCAATATCCAGAGAGTGAATTTTAATTAATCTTCTGATTAGCATCCAAGGAGAGCAAACTAAACCTTTAAGTTAGAGATAAATTTTACAACTGGGTGTGGTGGCACACGCCTTTAAACCCAGCACTTTGAAGACAGAAAAACGCTGATACTTGTAACTCAAGGCCTGCCTGTTCTACAGAGTGAGTTACAGAATAGTAATGAGTATACAGAGGCACTCTGTTTTAAAATACCAAAAACAAAAAAAGAAAAAGACTAAAATTGTAAAAATATGTTTATATAAAACACCACCAACTCTTCTTTAGAGATATAGCTGTTTTTTGATAATGCTTAAAATACTTGGTATTATTTTAATAAATATAAAGAATTAATTGAGTCTGTTTAGTATTGCTGAAATAATAAACCATTTCAATGTGTGGAATTTTAGTTGAATATAAACATGAGAGTATAAAATACCCAAGAATATTAAGTGGTGCAGAGGTACCTACCTACCTTCCATAGTTCTCTGCTCTCTGCCTAGCAGAGTTGCTGGTTATCCCTACAGAGAAACAGGACACCACCCACTCTGTGTCACATCTCCCTTTCTCCCTAATGATCAGTTAATCTCAGCTCTTAAGGCTTCAGCATTTCTTTTAACAAAAACATTTGTATCGTGGAGGGGAGCCTGCTGTATAATTCATGAATTCTGCTTAAAGCTTGAAAACCCTGGACATTTGGGGAAAGACATTTTAGCCACATGCAAATGAAAGTTTCCGTATCACTATTCCTGCTCCTCAGTTCCAATGTTGAGGTACATGTCCTATGATTCTACATGAATAAGTCACCCTGCTCTTGAGCATCCCAACCCAGCACTGAGCCCAGATGCAGGTGCAACTCTTCCATATTGTGTTAGTTTGTATTAAAATGTATCACGCTATTGAGCTGCTGCAAAATATTACAACACATATTTGGTCATGGAAAGTTTTTTTTCACAAAACAAATTCATTATCTTTTTTTTCTGAATATTTCAAGATTTAACAGTAATGACCCAGTTATCCTCACTCTCTCTCATCATTTGTTTCCTATCCAGCCTGTGGCCGCAGGTTCTACAAATCTTCCTCACAAGATCTCCAGTGTTCTCGCTGTCCAACCCACAGCTTCTCTGACAGAGAAGGATCCTCAAGATGTGAATGTGAAGATGGGTACTACAGAGCTCCTTCTGACCCGCCATATGTCGCATGCACAAGTAAGTTCAAGCTGGAAAAAGAATATCTGTTTCCTTTCCATTCATTGTAACACTCAGTGTTACACCAAGGCAGGCTTTAAGTTCGAAACTTTCATTGCTTCATATGTGTAAATCTTTCCATAAGCAGATTCAGCTAAGCAGTAATGCTAATATAATGTCATCTCTCCCAATTAAGAGTCATTTAGTAATTACTCTTTTAGATATTGTATTTCTTAGAAATCATTACAAATTATTGGCTGTACACTAACTGAAATATGACTAAATGCAGTGTTTTCTGAACTACAATTCTGGTGACAAACAACAGCTTATCTTACATATTGCTGCTTCAATTAATGAATGTTTGAGAGGACAAGTAGAAAGCAGTCTGATTTATTGCTATCAGTCACTCTGTAGCATAATATGGATGAAATAAATGTGTTAACTGTTGTATGGTTCAAAGGAAAACTATTTTAACAATCACACAATTCTTTTCCTTGGGTGTGCTAAATGTTTTAGTTGCTTAAAAGAAGCATTGTGAATGACTGTGGCATAAGTAGATAGTCAGTTGTTATCTTTTTCTTGTTCAACATTGAATGGAGAATAAATAAAGCCTCTTGTCAAGTTGATGTAGCTTCTCTACTTTAGAAGTTGCAGTGTTTATGTGAAAGAAATCATGGTAGTTGATTTTCTGGCTTTTCTATTTTATTCTATTATCCTACATAGATGCTATTGTTCATTTTGCTTGTATACATTTTTCTTCTTCTTTTGCCTACTTGTTTATTTATTTTTGACTTCCAAAGGGCCTCCTTCTGCACCACAGAACCTTATTTTCAACATCAATCAAACCACCGTAAGCTTGGAATGGAGTCCTCCAGCTGACAATGGGGGAAGAAATGATGTCACCTACAGAATATTGTGTAAGCGGTGCAGTTGGGAGCAAGGAGAATGTGTTCCATGTGGAAGTAACATTGGATATATGCCCCAGCAGACGGGATTAGAGGATAACTATGTCACTGTCATGGACCTGCTTGCCCATGCAAATTACACTTTCGAAGTGGAAGCTGTAAATGGAGTTTCTGACTTAAGCCGATCCCAGAGGCTCTTTGCAGCTGTTAGCGTCACCACTGGTCAAGCAGGTAGGTGTTGTGTGTCTTTACTGAGTTCATAATGTGGGGCAGCGTTAGTTAATCTCCCGTCTTTAGTGGTTTTTAACACCACTACACAGAAATTAATTTGCCAGCTTATTGATTTAACTTTTAATTATTTCTCCTATTAACTGTTAAGGAACATTTATGCTTATTAATATTGCCATTGTTCTGGCAAAGGAAGTAAAGGCAGAAGCATTCTAAGGCAGTTTAAACTGCTATACTTTGTTTTGTTGAAATCTCTAAAAGGGAAGTGAGAAACTACTGGCGCAGATAGTGCATGGTGTTGGTCTCTTTTAAATGTGGTTTGTGCTTATGATCATAATCCACATGATAGTCAAAAATAATGAATGATGTTGTTGTGCCATCATATATTTCTTAACCCATTTTTTACCACATAGAATATGATTCTTGTAATATCTGAAAACTTTGCTTTTTAAATTTGCATTAGAGTATTTTAAGTTCATCTGGAAATATGTGATCCTGTGACTGTCCATAATTTTCTAACACATACTTAGCAAATTTAATGAGTATGCCAAAAGAAATGATAGCTGTGAACTTGTAGCTTAGCTTAATACTAGCTTTCATTATTTTTTTACTGATATTTGAAATGCTTTCCTTAGTTTTTGTTACAGTTAATATGTTCTGAAAAACGTATGTAACCAAGTCAGCTTGAGAAGCCAGACATTTCTGAAACCACCAGAAAAAAACATATTACTGGAAAAAACTTTCAGAAATTGGAGCTTTCCTCACTGAGGCTGTTGAAAGACACTGCGCAGTCGACATTTAGTACATATAGCCAAGGACTAGGTTATCACCGGTACTAAAAGTGGCCCTGTACTAGATGATGGAGTTTTGTGACTTATAAGAAGTTCCTTATGGTTGTTGTCTGATTGTCTGAAACCATCAGCATTCAAAGAGCCTGATCTAGCCTTCCTTTCTCTTTTAATTTTAACTCAGTATTGCCTGTTTAAATTCCATCTGTATAATGACAACTGCATATGGAATTGTGCTGAGGAATTTGTGTGCATACCCTGCTCTTTTTAATATGGTCAACGAACTGCTATTGTACTCTGGAAAGCATTGGGAAAGAATCAGTATAAAAACTGAAACTCTTTGAAGAGAAATATGTTGTTTCTCTATCCGGTCTCACTAAGTAGCAATCAACAAGATGGAGTTTGGTGTGAGGAACTTGACGCAGGGTAGAGTTGACATTAGACACCCAGGGAAGAGAGAAGCAAACAAAAGTGGGCAAAGGGGAAATTGAGCTGTGATACAGTCTTGTTGTAATCTTATTCAGTCTCTGGGGATTGGTCTCCACTTAATGAACTTCCTTGTTATCCTTTGTTGAAATGATTTTACACTTCAGTGTTTCCCAGATATTGACTGTACGTTTCACTAGGAAGGAATATGGTATCATTTTTCAGACAAAAAAAAAGAGGAGTCTGATGGAGGCAGGGAAGTGAGTTCTGATTCTTGGCATGTATCTGAGCAGCTGGTTAAATAATTTCTTTTGTCCTTCACCAAGGGGATTGTGACCACCACATCACACCATCCATTACATAAAATCAAATGATGCTAAAAAAATAAGGGAGCAAAGTTCAGGCTGCATTTAGAAAAAGACAATGAGCTGGGCTGTGTCAGTAAAGATTTCCCTGAAGGGCTAGTGGGAGCCTAGTTCTTGAAAATAAGACCTGATGCAGTGAGTAGAGCTGGGTTTGGGGAGTAAGCAAGTAGTTGTTGATGGAGTGTTAATTTTTGTGTACTCTCCACAACACATCTTACCTATTAATTGTAGTTTATTTCCCCTTTTATTGAGAATAGATTTTTCCCTCTCATAATATATCATGATTACTACTTTTTCCCCCTCCCCAACTTCTCTAAGTTTTTTTAATGACTCTCCCATCCAGGTACACTCCCTTTATTACTTTTATTAGAAAACAAAAAGATAATAATAAAATATAATAAGATAAAATACAAGCTAACATTACCAGAATTGGACAAAACAAACAAGTAAAAGAGCCCAAGAGAAGGAATTACATTCAGAGACCCACCAGTTTGCACATTTGTAGCTGGGGGTGGGGGGAACCAGTCCAACTTCTCCATGTTTTATGAGTTGTGTAGGTGTTGTCTTCAGCAATCTAGCCTTGCTGTCAGATTGTGGAGAACAACCTATAGTCTTGACAACACCCTGGGTTGTTTGAGAATTGCAATCGAACCTCTTTGACTGACAACTGTAGTAAATGTGACCTATGCCAGGACTGGAAGCTTCTTTTGGTACGAAGAGATGGTCAGGTGGGGCTCTGTCTCCTCCTTGCTTTAGCAATTCCAGTTAGATTGCCTTAAGCACCTAAGTATAAAGTAGGTGTTTTCTGAAGACACAAGGGTGTACCTGGGCATCAATCAGTGTGGTACAGATGTCCTAAAATCATTTATAACTGATATCTTAGTCTCTTTTCTCTCCTTTATTGTATGTTTTATTGTACATGGATGAAGGGGTTTTATAGCACTCCTATATCATCATATCATTAAATATTTGAGTGAATTTATGAAATCTTACAAGTAAAACATTGAATTTAAGAATATGACTTTTAAGGGATCACCAGTAAATTCCTTGACCCAGATTATTGCAAGTAATTATACTGGCTACCTCAGAATTTTCAAAAGTGTATGTATATAACCATATCAAAGATTGTTTCTAAAATTGCTTAGTTGTATAATCTATTACATGGCAACTCTCAGGTTAAATAAAGTAAGAACTATTGAGAGAAAGGTGATCTAATAATGCCGTATTGATATTAGTGGCAGAATAACTTTGAGGGATAACGTTGATAGGTATCTTATTATCTCTGTCATTTCATCCCCTTTCTTTAAGGAAAAATAAAATTGTATACTCTAGTTTAATTAGTTTATGTTTTTCAATGCCCAGAACTCATTTCTGAGTCTAAGATTTATTTGTGTCCCTTTAATTTGATTTGTGATATTTATGTAATGTTCCAAATTAAATATATTGGTGAGGTCATATGATATGGCGTAATACATAGCAAAACTATACTAAAAAGATGCTAGCACAAATCATTTTCTTTAATTTTCAGAATTAAAGTGATTCAACTAAAATATTAGTCTCAAAAACTTGCCCAAATCATTTCATTCCAATGGTTCAAAATGGACAAATATCAACTTACATGTTTGATATATAAAATGAATTATTTCCATTTAAGTTGTTGTATTTTTATATTTCTTGGAAATCTGTAACCTTGGTTTATATTTTAAGGAAATATTCTTTTAAAAAATATTTTTTCTTGTGCTATGCCATCTACTGTTTATGTAAAATAACATTATATTTGGCAATCTTCATAAGATATCATTTGTTCACCACTAGGTTAAAAAAGCTACAACTACAAAAAATAGTAAAACATCATTTAGAAAGATTGTTAATTTTATTAAAACTTGCGTGCATGAGCGCATCTATGGAGTCTATAGCAGAAGAGCTGAGCTCTGTCATTTCTAAATTCTTATATTCAAGCTTTGAGCCTAGTGTGGCTGTCTCAGATGATGGGGTGTGCAAGGAGGAAAAGAGAAATGAAGTCTTACAGTAATCTGTCCCTCACAATCAAAGATCATATAGGAAGTGACCTCAGAAAGCATCCTTTCAACCCCCCCCACACACACACACTGGAGGACAGGCTATATAAGACCAACAGATCAACAGCAGTGATCACTAAGCTAGGAAGTGAAGCCTCAACAAAATTGAGCCCTGTTAAGCTTTGTTTCAGGAACTTTTAATCTCCAGAACTGTGGGAAAATAGCTTTAAGTAAGACTGTGGTATATTCTAGGGGACCATGCTGATTAATATAACTATTCATCCCTGAAATAATTGGACTTTTCCACATTACCTTGAAAGAAAATATTGTTTTCTACAAACATGAGGCTAAGTAAGGCATCTGTCTCTTTGTGTCCTACACTAACTGAGGAGTGCAGATATTTGTACTGTTTTTGAACGTGTTTAGTGAGGAGACATAGTGAGCAAAGTGACCTGTAGCCATCCTCTGTTTTCCCTACACGAGGCAAGCAGATGATTAACTTTCTAAGGAGACTTTGAGGCTGTGAAGTGATGGTGGCACAAAGCTCTGTACAAATTAGTTACAATTTTTTATTTCAGTTTTCAAGTTTGAATAAGTTTGTCATATTCTTGGCGATTTTAATCTAGCAATTTGCACATGATTAAGAAGCAAGTGCCGTATATAATATTCTTGTGAAATAATTTGGATAACTATATTTTAGAGGATTAAATTTGTAACTTACTAAATTAAAACCCTTTCTTTTAAATAAATACTCAATACCCTTGAGCAGTCCATAATGATAGTTTTATACAAAGTAATTCTTATACTATGTACTGCCCTTAATAGAAGGTCTTTCATTTTGTTACTGAAATTTTATTGAGTCAAGGCCTTAGCCACCTTAAATGAATCCCCTAAAACAATATTTATCAAGGAATAACCACATCACTTTTAAATTTTAAAAATTCATTTAATTGAGAAATAGAATGTAGGTTTCACTAAAATGTGCCCACTTATTCTTTTCTTTTAAGGAGAAAACATAAAAACCATGTTCACTAAGGACATAAATGTGAAAAATGTGCAGGATATAATCTTTGGTACATATCTGTTGAATTTATTAACTCTGAGATACTAAACAATTAAAAGTAATTCAAATGCTAATAGGAATTAATCCAGAGTGAACTTTTGTTAATCTTAACCAGTCATCTCAGTGACTACTATCCAGTGTATAGATAACTTTGGTGTGGGAGTCATTAATCTGTTCTTTTGGAGCCAATTGTCAAGCCATTTCTGTTACTAAAATAAAATCATTGTAGAGAAAGACAGTGAAGAGCCGGAAAATAGAGCTTCATAAGTTGCTTGTGTGTGAATTAATATTCATACGAGAACAGGTAATGATGGTGATAATAAACACTTTGGTCCATGGTTTA